TTTCGTAGGTCCAACTATCTTCAATCAATTTATCAATGATCTTCCTTCCATTGCTGAGATAAGAAGGCACTGCGCATTGATAATTATACTTTCAATTATATTTATAATTTTCCAGATAATTAAGTTGTCCATGCTCACTTGCAGCAAGATCCAGACAGCATTCCATCTTATGCTGACCAGTGGCAGGGAATGGCCAGCTCAGGTATTGACCAAAACAACTGGAAAAACTAAATAAATATGATGTAGTCTGTCAGAATGTATTGCAGCAAGTGGCTCAACTTTGGGCTCCGAACGCTTCTTCACCATTCACACTGCACAGGGAACAAGGTCTGTAGAATAATCTCAATTTGTCCAAATGGCTACATTTACAATAACTTTAAAAACTTAACAGCATCAAAGATAAAGCAGTCCAACTGATATTTATTAACTACCCCTGTAGAGATTCTCCCTAATCCACAGTACCAAACCACATTTTTATACTGTGCATAGCAACACTGATTATACTTAAGAGGTAATCATTGCTTGCAAAGTGCTTTGGGACATTCTACATCAATGTTATTTCTTTAAAAGTGTGAAGAACAATTGCAATTTTTTGAAATGCTGTTTTACTCAGTCATAGTGACCGTTGCCTATTGATTCAGAAGTAAACATGACAACTATTTCAGGAACGAGGAGGAAGAAAAGCATACCATTTAAACAAGACGAGAGACAGTGCCTTCAAGAGTGATTTTGTTAACGCTAGTCAAGATGCCAATCAACTCTCCTCAGATCATACTTACGTTTTACAGTTTAGTTTATATACCGTGCTCATCAATGAAACCGCAAGTTTTGTAGTAAATCTGTGAATCAAGACATTCTGGGATTTTTCACTTAGCTACACTGACTGGGGGAATTTGATTAAGTACATTTCAATACTGAACAATGGAGGCTAACATTATAAAGAATAACATCTATACTACAGTTGGCTTTAGCATTCATGGCCAAGGGTGCGAACTTCTCAGTTCTCATCAATATTTGCTAAGTCTTGATGGATGATATGTGTAATTGAGACAGACCGGGCAATAAGTGGGAAGAAGTGTACGTGAGTACTGTGTTACCAAAAGTGTGGTGTATGAGGGAGAGAATGGGATTGAAAGCAAAGAGCGTACAAAAGTGAGGGTGCAAGATAGAATTAACATGACTGAGAGTTTGAGAGAGACAGGATATGCAATAAAGATTTTGTAGCCACGAAAAAGAAGTGAAAACGGGTGCTCATACGAATGTGTACGCACTGGAAGACCTCAGAACAAAAATCAGCTGCAATCCTATACACAAGAGCAAAAGCCCACAAAAAGAAGAAAAAAATTGGACAGGAAAGAAAACGCGAAAACTTAGAGAAGTATTGCTGAGCAGAGAAGCATTTGAATGATTGCTATTGATAAAACATTTCGCTTTCAGGTTTCCAACATAACCTATTTTGTTTGATAAACTGTAGTCATACAAAATGTCAGTTATTTATTATATTACACATAGAAGTGGAATAGATCCTGATGAAATACTTTTGTTTCATTCAATTCTTTTGACAGCATAAACACCACAGGGATAGCAATTTTTAGTGAATCTGATTTGTCTGATGCTGACACAGCCCAAGGGAACTGTTCCTTGCCGCAATTCTTAAAAAACATCCTTTTTTTTAAACCTGCCACGAAACTTAACAGACAGCTTTGAAGAAGTCATACCAGACTTGAAACACGTAATGTGTTTCTTCATAGAAGCTGCTAGAAGTTCTGAGATTTCTAGCATTCTCTCTGTTTATTTCAGATTTCTTCTACAGTATTTTGTTTTCTTATGAAAATTAACATGAATCAATCAGAAAGTAAAGCTACTTCGTGTATATCTAAGAGCTAGATTACTTTGGGATTCAAACTGATTAGTAAACTACTAGCAAAATTACTTTCCTTCCTATTACCGATGCTCTCTCTCCTTCCAGAAGGTGCTGATTTATATTTACCACAATGCTACAGCCACCATCTGCCCACAAGCACCTCATTCTACTGGTCATTCTTTACACTGTGTGTACTGCAAATCATAAAATCATACTATGATACAGACAGGAGGCAGTAATGTCAGCTGTAACTCAGCCAGTAGCACTCTCTCACCTCTGAATTAGAAGATTTTGGGTTCAAATTCCATCCGGAGACTTAATTACAATGATCTAGAGTGACACTCCAGTCTAGCACTTAGGGAAATTTACAATGTTGGAGATGGTGTTCTTTAAATAAGGCTTTAAACAGAGATCATCTTTTCTTACAGGTAGATTGAAAAGATTCTATTCTGAAGAACAGGGGAGCTATTCCTTCCATTAATGCTAATATTTATCCCTTAAATCAACAACATCATAAAAACAATTACCTGGTAATTATCAGAATGCTGTTTGTGAGAACTTGTAGCGTGCAAATTGGCTATGTTTCTTTCATTAGAATAGTGACTATACTGCAAAAAAACACTTTATTGGCCATAAAATGCTTGAAATTACTGTGATCATGTAAGGTACCATAGAAGAGAAGTCTTACACATGTACATACAAATTAGAAGCAGAAGTTGGCCACTCAGCTGTTTGAGCCTGCTTTGTTATAGAATGAGATCATGGCTGATCTGATTATTCCGTATTTCCACCTACTATGGATAACCTCTCACTTCTCTGCTCATCAAGAATCTACCTACCTACCTCTGCCTTAGACATACGCAAAGTCTCTGCTTCTACTGCCTGTCAAGGTCGAGAGTCCCAAAGACTCATCATGTTCTAGGAGGAAAAGAAATTCTCTTTCTCTCTGTCTTAAATGGGTGATTCCTTATTTTTAGTTCCATTTTTCCCCACTAGAGAAAATGTAGTTTTCAAACACATCCACCCTGTCAAGACCCCTCAGGATTTCCTATGTTTCAGTCAAGTGGCCTTCTCCTCTCCACTGGTTATAAACTTAGCCTGTTCAAACTTTTCTCTATATGGTCATTCTACGTATTGGTCTGGTAAATCTTCTCTGAATTGTGTCTATCGCATTTTACATAAGGAGTTAAATATTGTAACAGTACTCCAGATGTGGTCTCACCAATGCCTGGTATAACTGAAGCATAACCTCCCTACTTTTGAATTCAATTCCCTTTGAAATAGACAATAACGTTCTATTAATACCTGCACCAAATTTTAACCTTTTGTGCATCATGCATTAGAAGATCCCTCTGCACCTCAGATCTGTGCAATCTCTCACCATTTAGACAAAATGTTCATTTTTCATTCTTCTTGAAGAGAAGAACTAAAATTTCATATTTGCCTACTCACTTCACTTACCTTTATCCCTTTATAGTCTCCTTATGACCTGTTCACAACTTACTTTCCTACCTATTTTGTGTTATCAGCAAATTTAGCAACCATACCTTTGATCTCTTCATTTAAATCATTTATATAATCATAAAAGGATGAGGCCCCAGCACTTATCCCTTTGGTGCACTTGTTACAGTTTCCCAATCAGAGAATGACCCATTATATCTACTCTCCATTTCCTGATAGCTAGACAGTCTTCTATCCATACCAACGATTTATCCACTACACCATGAGCTTTTATTTCCCACAATAACCTTCGAGGTTGTACCTTATCAAATGCCTTCTAGAAGTGCAAGAAAAGTATATCCATCAGTTTCCCTTTATCCAAAGCACATGCTATTTCTTCAACGAACTCCAACAGATTGGTAAACATGATTTCCCTTTCACAAACCATGTCGACACTGCATTATTACATTGAACACAGGTTAAGTGCCTTCCAATAATATTTTTAGGAATAATTTCAAACTATGACAACTGTTAAGCTAACTGGCCTGTAGTTTTCTATTTACTGTCTCAACCCCCTTTTGAATAAAATAGAACTTTCTCCAAATCTAGTGAATCTTGGAAAATAAAGACCAAAGTCTCCAACAGGGCCTAGGCTCTTGTTAGCACATAACTCCAACAATCCACTTCTCTGGTGATTGTAACTTGCTCAAGATCCTCCCCATTTCTATTTCATGATTTCAGGCATTTTTGGGATATGACGTTTCCTTTACAAAGAACAGTAATTCAAAATCTGTAATCATTTCATCTGCCACCCCCTTTTGTTTCATTCCTTAAACACAGTTTTATACAGTCAACATTCAATTTAATAACTCTTTTCATTTTTAAATGTACACATAAACAATCCACGTTTTATATTTCTAGCCTGCTATCTCTCATACTATAATTTTTCTATCTTTATTAATCTTTTAGTCAATCTTTGCTGCTTTTTATATTCTAGCCATTCTTCTGTTCTGCCAGCTAACTTTGGGCATTTATAACTTTTCTTTAAGTAAGATATGATCTTTAACCATTTTAACTTTGGAATATTGATTTTCATTGACTGATCCAATTTGGTATATTCTGAAATATCCCCTTAAATGTCTGCCATTGCATTATTTATTGACCAAAATTTTCCTTATGTGCTAGTCTTGGATTCCGTCCTCTCTCCTTCAAACTAGGGGTGCCTTCATTATGAAGCTATTATTAAATCCATCTTGTTGCATAGTGTTAGGCCTAGAATAGCCTGATTTCTGGTCTGCTTCTGAATGTGTTCTCCTAACAAACTATCCAGAAAATTTTCTGTGAACTCTTTGTAAATTGTTGTCCTTTAAATCTCAAAGGCTGCTTGCAGGCTAATATTCAGATGAATTAAGGGAAGGACATCAGAGGCATACTTTGTCCATTCTCATTCATTATACACATCTAGCATGAATCAGTATGCAACAATCACAAGGAGAAGCCCTGGTTGAGTTTTCTCCCCCCTCGTTTAAGGATGTTGATGTCAATCTGACAATTATAATTGCCACAGGGATGATTAACTAAAATAGAACAGATTAGGTTATTCTAAGTATGACACATTAATAAAGCATTAAGAAATCAATCTCAAGGAACTGACAAGCATTCAAGTTAATTTCTCTTTTTTTGATTAAATTCCTACCTTATCTTTTGAAACTTTGTGCGAAAAAGGACATGTTCCGTCAGTTTTTTTGCACGTTCCACGTAGGAATCTGCCAAAGGGAAAATGGAGCATACAAATTGTCATGGGGCCCAATCCTGAATGATTGCAACTGTTCCAAAAAAATTACTATTTGACCGCACAGTAGTCACCTTGCAGAATGAATACATACCACTAAAACAATGTAAAGTTACAGGAATAATGGAAAGTTTTAGTATTGAGGTACATAGTTGAAGTGTTAAATATGCAAACTTTCTCCTGAGTCGGGTTTGGCATGGGAAGACTATCATCTAAAACTTCCTTTGCATCTAGCAAGTCTGACATCTGTTATGAATATAGTTCTGCAAGAGAATGGGGTTCTTTGTTTGCACACAATGGGTGTTGTTCATCTCTCAAGTTCCAGTCTTTTTTTGGAATTTTTAAGTAATTTCCCTGTTTGATTAGCATAATAAATTTCACCAGTTAATAGACATCAAATTCACAGATACAGACATACCTTGTACAGACTGCAACCTTTTCAGGGTCATGTATATAGGGACAATCGTCCCCTCGGTTACACTTTCCAAATCTGTTGTAGTACATGCAGTACTCTTTCTTCTTAGATTTCTTCTGCTTGGCCAGTCTGATTATAGCCAGGCTACGCTGCACAGCACGACTGTGAATACACAGTAATTAGTTAGATTGTTTAAAAACAGAAGCCTCATCTTTCCAATAAATGTTAATTTAACTTTAACAAACCCTTTAAAAATGAATGGATAACTTCAACAGCAAAATCTAATTGAGGAAATAATGCATAGCACAGTGAAGACAAGGAGGAGAAACACCAACAATTGGTGATTGTTCTAATGGCAACCATAAGGGTGTCCTGACATCACACATAGGAAGAGGCAGGAGGAGGAAGAAAACAATCAAAACCTGCAAACAGACACTTGTACACAGGCAGCAAGCACAATCCTTAATCTGACTCATTTGGTTAACTTAGGAGAAGGCTGCCTGGTTTCATGACTGCAAAAACAACGCATAAAGGTCTAAAAAGCTTGGGAGAAGAAAACATCTTTATTATCCTCAATTGCATCTAAAACTTCAAGAACTATCTCAAAACGACAGGTTGACACTATAAGCCAATGACTATAAATGATGACCATTACTTCAAAATTGTTCAAAATTGTTAGTTAAACTGCATTCAAAATTCCCCACAACTATACTCCTATCATTCTAAGCCAAAAATTGTACTTTTTTAACATTATTTTCAACAGGAAGGAAAATGAAAACATGAATGGAACTCATAATCATGGAACTAGAACAGTCACCCTGTACCTACATGTTCCAAGTTCCAAGGACCTCTTGCCTTGTAGAAAATTTCAGGTCTTCAGATGGGAGCCTCTTGACCGTGCATTGCCTATTTCATATGTTATGTTAAGAATTGTGGCTACTAATCTGTCAGTAGCATTTTTTAACCAGGATTCTGGGATCAAGCATTGCAATTGCTGATGCAGACTTAGAAAAATAATTCAAGGTGTCATGAATCCTAAAGCAAAATATTTCTTGTGGTACAGTAGAAGTGTCCTCACCTCATGGCCAAAGGTTTGGGTTCAAGTCCCACCTTAGAATATGATGGCACACGTCCAAACAGGGTGACTCAAAACAAAAATCTTGTTACAATCCTTGACTCAGTGGATTTATAAAAAAAAGACTTATTTACAAAGAGATTAAAAATGCAACGTCAGTCTTTATCTGAAGCAGAGCAAAAAGTGAGATTTTATTTTTCAGTTGTAGACAGCCTTGGTTACATCACATTGGGTGTCCCTATATACATGTGTTCAAGCTGTAGAGAGCCTTGGTTTACCATGTTAGGTAACTTTGTTCACTTCTGGGTGCTAGATATCAGGAGTATGTTGGCCTTTAATGGGTCAGATTCATCAGAATGAGACCATAGCCGTTAGGATTAAATTATTAGTTCATGTTACACAATCAGTTTAAGTGTTTGTTGGGTGATCTAATTGTTGAGGTGATGAACAAATAAACAAAGATAAAGATTTATTTCTTCTGTTGGTGTTATTAAGAACAGTGCATAATTTTAGGATTAGCACTTTCAGGATTCAAATCAACTTGCACGTGTTCAAAGGAAGTGTCAAAGCAATCTGAACTCCTCCTTCATATCAGAATAATGCACTAGGTCTAGTAACAGTTTCCAGGCTGAGATGAGTAAATTTCAGTAAATTTACAGTAATCAGTAAAAAAGGTATCAAAAATGAAAGTAAATGGGGTTGATGTAAAGATCAGCAATGATCTAATTTAGTGTTTCTCAAAATGGGGTCTGCAGAGATTTCATGAGGTATGCTTGGTCCAAGTCATGAGATGGAAGAGGAGTACAATTGCCATATGAGCAGCAGAGTGATAGATAAGGTGAATAGCAAGGGTCTTTTCCCCACGCTGGGGGAGTTCAAAACTAGGGAGCATATTTTTAAGGTGAGAGGGAAAAGATTTAAAAAGGACAAGGGGCAACTTTTTTACATAGAAGAGTGGTTCATATGTGGAATGAACTAGTAGAGGAAGTGGTAGATGCAGGTACGGTTACATTTAAGAGACATTTGGATAAGTATATGAACAGGAAATGTTTGGAGGGTTAGAGGCCAAACACAAGCAAGTGGGACTAGTTTGATTTGGGAACATGGTCAGTATGGACTAAATGGACCAAAGGGATGGTTTTCATGCTGTACGACTCTATGACTTGGAAGAACAATAAGATCGAGAGTGATAAGGCAAGATGATCATTTAGTAAACCCACAATGGCTAAACCGGTGAGTGCTAAGTGAATTCAACAGAGGGACTAATTTAAAACATGAAGTACTGGAGACAGCTGGTCAAAGATGAAGAAGCAGATGCTGAGATCTTCTTTCAATGCCTTTCATTCCAGACTCAATTTTTCAGACAAGAACGTTCTTATTGTAATTAAACTACACAAACCATTCCAAAGGTGACACTCATGTTTAGCTCAATGAAGGACCTGCAAATGTGTGAAGTGAACGTTACTTGTCACTTGTCAGCCCAAACGTGGATATTGTCTAGGTCTTGGTGCATTTTGACACAGACTACTTCAGTATCTAAGGAGTCAGAAATGGTGTTGAACATTGTACCATTGTGCAATTAGCAGCAAACATCTCAATTTCTGACCTTATGATGGA